GCTTAAATTGCCAGCGTTGCTGCCCAAGCAGCACCCTAATTTTGTCTGCCTCTTCATTTCCTTAAGGTCCCTTCGTTGCTTCTTGACAAACACACCATCAAGTCAAAAAAGAAGTTTGTGATTAGATCCATCTATTTTGAGTTTAGATCTGATTTTAATATCTGGTGAGACAGAGAGCTGCACAGACAGACAGGTCACATATGATTTTAATACTCAGATAGATGGATGAACACAGAGATTGATAGATAGATGAGAAGATAGATGCATACTCACAGACTGATGCATAACAGTTCTTAGCATATACATCTCTCACACAGCCCTGCACTCTGTAAGTACTGTGCAGAAAGTCAATTCTACTACAGCACGCACTAAATATTTCACTAAAATAAATAAATAGACGTAACCATGACTAATAGGGACATCTCTCCTGAATGTTAGCCAGTACTTTAAGCAAACCTTTTTTATGCAGTAAAACGAAACTATCCATTTATAAAGGGCGTCGGGGAAGCTGCCCTCAGTCTTTGTCTGACCTCAGACACATTCACCTAAAATTCCTCTTTCTCTTCTTGAAAAATCACCCACAGCCAATCAGAAATTAAATTTTATTTGAGTTTGTTTTTTTTTCTTAAAGATTCCGCTCAGCAAAAAATGAAGAGTAATGGATCATTCATTGCCATGGGACTAGATGAGTTAGGAGGTTGTTGTCAGATGAGTTTGTGTTCTCTGCTGTGACTGCTGTTTTATTTTCCACTGACCCTCCTGTGTTAATAAAGCCCAGTCTGGAGAGAACAAAAGTTTGCTTCTTGTCGTAGTAAGTAATGTGCCGAGCACATACCTTATCATTAACACAAAAGTTACTGAAAAAATACTGCTTTCTAGAAAGCCTGTATTAATTGCAGCAAGCTTTATACAGCAAGGTGGTCTAATCTAGCTTTTCTTATTGGCTAATTCCAGTTATAAAATGAACACAAAATGAATTCTAAAATATACTTGAAGGAGGGGAAAATATTCTTTTTAAACCTATTATTTACTAACAGGTATTTCTTTTATCTTTACTGTTGCCTTAACCTTTGCTAAGCAAACAGAAATATAGCAGTCAGTTGAATTTCAGTAGCCAAATAAATTGATATTAGCTTTACAACATGATCGTGTGATTTTCAGAATGTCCTAATGACTAACACAGCTGACTCCTTTAATTAAAAGGAGCTTGTTTCACTTTTCTGAGCTATGGCCCCATGCCTTCCCCTGTTTTAGATCTTCAGCTTCACAGCCCCGTCCATTAATCACCACTGCCTATGCCCACTTGCTGTTTTTATGTATGCAACTGAGTATTGTAATTGCTTTCCATCTCCTTCCATCAGCCTACATGTGGGAAGGAAGCAGTTTCACTGGTTGGCTGAATGTTTGTGTACTGGGCAGATTTAATTATCTTTACGGAGTTATATAAAACCCTTGCATATGTGCCCAGATCCAAAGATTTTGGATCAGGTATGTATCTGAGTGCAGGCAGAAGCGATAAAGTATCTGCATCACCGAGATTCACTTCATCTTATGCCGATCCAAATTCCTCTCATGGGGCTTTTGCACTGTAGGATCTTCAGGGCAGAGGCTTTTTTTCTTAGGAGAATACAATGTAAAGTGCCATGCACTTCTGTGCTGAGATTTGCAAAGCTCGTTTCTCGTTAACTTTAATGGGAAACGGGCATCCAAATCTCTTAGGCAGCTTTGACAATTTAAGACTTAATGTACAATATTAATAAATCAGCATCATAGAAAGAGCCTTATGAAGATGTATTGTGAAAAAATAGCCCCACAAAAGCCATAGCAGTGTATGTGTGCACACATACAGGCATACACTTTTCTTTACATAATTACGTCTCTCAACAATCATTTGCATGTCTCTGTTGTGCAAAAAAAAACCTGTGTGCATTTTACAGTTACTCTTAGCAGTTGCAATTCATTGAAATGAAATAAAAAGCAGACTCAGAAAAGAACCCTAATCTGGCAAGGGGTAAAGCAAAAACGAATGCTTTGCCCATTTATATTTTAGATCCAAGCTACACAACCCCGTGAATTTCATGACTCTATTCCAACTTCTAATTAAATAGGCACTAAAAACACTTAAACAGGAGAACCCAGTTCAGCAGACAGAAGTCGCTGATGCAAAAATAAATAAATAAATAAATAAGGAGACTGAGAGAGAAAATATTCCAGTGGCAGGTATTTTAAAAATCACAGAGCACACAGGTCTTTACCTGCAAATTCCTCACTCTGTGGTGCCTTGAACACAAAGAGAGGTACAAAGACAGAAGGAACTACAACCAACACCCACAGGAGAAATGCTGGACATCCAAGCAGACTTCCCAGCATTATCTACAATGACTGAAGTAGCTACCAGCAGCCCCATTCCCTACAAAACACAAACTGCTCTGAGGCAAAGGTCTTTCCTCCCGTCTGCACAGCTAAATGCTACTCAGCTCACTGTGCAATCCTGTGCCCTGGTCCAAGATTGCAAAATGCAGCTTTTACACTTGCAGACCCCAAACTCCACTGGCAGCCTTTGTCTTGGGTTCCCCAGCACAAAATTGCTGGGACACGAGGGCCTGATCCGGGGATACCTGCAACTTCCAGCCTTCAGGTTCACAGCCTGCTTGAGGGCTGCACCGAAAAACTCCAGGTCCTGAATTAAATGAATGCTGAAAAACAGGAAAGGTAAGAAATGATGAAGGAGGAGGAGAGGCGGGAACTGTTGATGGCTTTTGTTAAAAGGAGGAAACAATTCCTCAGAAGCAAGAACGGGGCTGACAGAATAAAAGGCTAATCAAGTCAGAGAGACAAGCAGATCTCTAAAGCTGCAGCAAGTGACTATTGTAAATGGCTATATTAAAAAAGAGGGCACAATGCAGGGATCATCCCTAGATTACTAGTCAACACAAAGAACTCACTTTTTTTTTTCATTTCCACAAAACATTTCAAGTGCTAGAAGGATCTTGCAACTTGTACTGCAGAGTTTAAAACATACCTTGGCTCATTTACTGAGGGAGCTAAGAAAGAGTTAAAAAGATATAATCTCTTTTTCAAGGGAAGAAAATGCTTCTTTCAAGCAGAGATTGACCAACTACTGTCATAAACATGTAGCATGCACTTTGATAAAACCTATTCTCTAAGTGCCACAGACTGCAGCAGTAATTACAGGAAGCCATGATAACAGGTCTCTCTCTCCGCAGAGCTGGCATCCTTCTCCTAGCAAATACACTACTGAAAACTAGCTCCAAAGTGAGAACTGAAAGTATGTAACATACCAGAGCCTCACCTTCCCACCTCCTTTAATCAGTTATTCCTTCCTTCCTTTTTAATTTTGCTTCCTTCCCTCCCCACTGGCTATTGGCAGCAAGAGCAGTGGGAAGCCAGCTCACTCTTACAGCTACCTGCCTGCATGCAGTTTGCTTCTGTGAAGGTAGAACAGGAAAGCAGATCAGTACCGGTTTGTTTCATCAGCTGGGGAGAGCAGTGCACCTATCTCACTCAGTGCCCATCACCCAGAAGAGCCTATCTCCACACCCGTCTCAGGTCAGTTGGTCAGTCTGCTGAGGTCGATGAAGCGGAGCCCGACGAAAACACACATACCGACGCGCTGTATATGGCAGCATGACGAAGTCAGACCAGGTCTTTGGGACATACTGGTCATGTCACACCATGCCACACATTGCTGTCAGGTCAGCACAAATGTCTGGGTCTCAGTCAGGAGGCACAGGAGCCTGCTTCATGCACCATGAGCTTTACCAGGGTCTACACAAGACCCCTCTCGGTCTCCTCCCGAGTAAATTTTGTCGCTCAAGACAGAGGACTTCCAAGATGAAAAACTTTTTCTCTTGGTTTATTACAGCAAATTCAGACGTGCAGAGACCTTCTTGTGAGATACAGTACACTGCAGCAGCACAACTGCTTTTGTAAGGAATATATTGAGCATAGTTAACTTTGGCCATCTTAGGGGGAACAGGAGGAGCCATTTGACAAAGATTTTACATGTGACCTGCCATCTCTCTAAATCCTTTGGTCCTCAGACACAATTTTTCCGTTATTTTTTGAGCTCTCTATTAAAACTCCATGCACATCAGCATGAATCAGGGCTGCAAGGGCTGGCCCACCACAGTTAGTCTCCCTCATAAACGCTTGTAGATTTTGCCACAGCTGTATTTTCATTTAAGCCTTCCCCATTTTCACCTCTCCAGCCTGCAGTTCACCACAGACCCAATCCTACAACTGAGCCATGCTCAGAAACACCCACTGATTTCAAAGAGATCACTGGGTCTGAAATGACGGGGTCTGGCAACAATATGTCCCCATCCTCTCCAGCGAGCTGAGCATGCCCTCATTTCCACATCACTTTCCCCTCCTCACAGTGACAAAAGTCAGGCATCCAAAAGGAATAAAGGAAAGAAAAAGCTGATGCGGGAGAGGGGAGGGATGCGTGGCAAGTTACCAAGGAGCATTTTCTCAAAGCAAAGGAGAAAACTGCATGGAGCACATACATCCTGCGTGCACATGGACGTGGAGGAAAGCCTTTAAATACAAATGATTAGGGGGAGAAAAAAAAAAAGAGGGGATAGGAGAAAGACTTCAGATGTTTAATGTTATCCAATTAAGCTTAAAATAAACAGCCCAGAGAGATGAAATCTTGATACCAGGCTATCACATTCTGTGAAGAGTTTCAGACATTTGTTCACAATGTGACACAAATGGCCCAGCAGCCACTGGTGACATCTGATGGTGGCAGGCAGGAGGGGAGGGACGGGGGAAAGGAGGGAGTGCGCACCCCTTCCCATTCCCATCCTCTGCCGGGGTGCAGGGGGCAAGAGGGAAGGCAAGGGGTGTTTGGGACACTTCCAGTGCCTTCCCCATACATCCCAGAGAAGGCAGTTCTCCCATAACAAAGATGACATCACTTGGCAGCACTACTGACCTTCAGATAGCAACAACAAAATAAATGTTTCTATTACCTGACAACTGACAATGACATCCAAATGTACCTGACGTCTCAGTCTGAATCTCAGTCTGAGTCCCGCCAACTGAGACTGCACGTGCACCACAGCAGGGCAGGCTAAGGCAGGGCGGGAGAGAGGCCAGTGCGCGGAGAGGTGACGTGATGACGGATGTGTGAGGGTGGGAGGAGGCAGCTATTGGAGCCCCCGGCAGGTTTGCAGGCCTGGACGGCCCTGGAGAAAAAACAATAGAAAAAACTGTCAGTCGGACCTAAGTTTGAAGGGACAGAGGAGGCATCATCAGGGGGAGCAGGCGAGGTGGGGGCTGGCTGCCTAACATGCTACACTCTCGCTCTGACCTCTGCCTCGGCCGGGCTGAGGCATGCAAGCCTGCAGCAAACTGGGAGGGTGCAAGAAGTGGCCCCGTGAGCCCAGACTGGGCCTGCCTGGGCACGGAGAGGGACGAAGCAAGGGCAAAGCCAGTCCCAGCGCAGGGAGAGCCAGAGGCGGCAAGCGTCACCACCAGCACTACTCAGGGACCAAATCAAAAGGGGGATTATTGTTTTACGGCTGTGTTAATGCATTTAGCTGACACAAAACCAGGCAGGCTCTCTGCCGAGCTGCTGCTGAAGCGGTCTCGACACGGCAGTGCAGACAAAGTGCAGTGACTCTGAGCTCAAATGGCTTCGGAGGGACGCCAGGAGCAGAGCTCCTGGAATGAAGCATTCACAGGCCGCTGTGCTGCCTGCCCGCCTGACCCGCAGCCAGTTATGCATTCTGCACGCTCCCATTATGAACACTGCTTCCCTGTTGAGCCTGCAAAGAATGGAGCAATCTTTTTCCCGATAGCTAAAAAACAGTATTGTAACTTCCAGAAGTATTATTTATTTTTAACCCCTCTAGGAATCACCTGCCATTTCAAAGCTGTCTTTAGACCTCTCTCCTGCTCCACTGAAAATGCTCGCTGCTCCTGGCACTACTCCAGGTGGAGCTCCGCGGCTTAAAAAACCCAGACACAAGCCTTAAATATCAGTGTACACCTGCATAAATACAGACAGGCACAAACAGACATACACGCACGGAGTCAGGAAGACCCACAACTTTGGCCACTGCAGAAGCAGCAGAAGTTAGAGGAAAGCTGTGAGTACAGCGCTGCTCTGTACCCTACCCCATTTATTTAAAACTGCGCCTTCCACTTAATTGTTATATAAAGCGAGGCTACTAATCAAGGGCAGTTTCTAAATGAAGATATGTGGTGGAGTGGTCACCATTAAAAAGCTGGTATATGCTAGCAGTTACCACACAGTGGTAGATCATGAACAATAGTTTCCTTCGCATTTACATTGGGAAATACATGTGTTAATGGGTGTCTTTTAGCAAACATTCTCCTTTTCTGGGGGGTGGCAATTTTGTTGTGCACACATGTGCACCTTGCATACACATGCAATGCCATGGCAGCAAGAAGAAATACTTTTACCCATGCTTCTTCCAGCCCTAGAAAGGCAACACTTGGAAGGGAAGCTGTCTACCTCGAGAATCCTGGTTCAGATACCGAGCGTACGTGTTGATCTGACAGCTACACATGTGAGGCAAACAGGAATAGTTCATCCTTGGCACAGCATCCAGCGCTCTACTCTGCAAGGACTGCATTTGATTTTGCCATTTATCTTAAATGGCTAAGAGACCACCAGTGCAAAACATTTGTGTGAAGCTTTTGCCAAAACCACAAGTGAAGAGTCTAAATTCCCTGTGTAAATACTTGGGCTTCAAGCATCAAGGATAAAATTTGTGCTTTTTTGTGAGCACTGGCTTTAAATAGAAGCCATCTCTGTGGCACATGGGGCAAGGGAGGATCTTTTATTTTGGGGCTCAGTTGCCTGGCTTTTACAACTGTTTTGATCTCACTGCAAATATTATCTCAGGCAGGTAGTGATAACTACCATCTAGCTTGTACATTTGGGGCAGAACTGCATGCTAGGTACATGCAAATTGATATCAGACATGGATTTCTGTATCTACAGAAGCCACTCTAACATATATGAATAACGTTACCTTCCACGAAGCAAAGAAAACATAACAAAAATTCCTAACAATTACCTAACAATCGCATCTTGTCTTCCTAACATTACAAAAATAACTAGGCTAGTACAGGCTGAGCTGAGCTCCATAGGTACTCATCCTTGCCAAGAAAGCTGTGATTTTGAAATCTGGATTAGTGTAGGAGCACAGAGCACCTACATCTTCTGTAGCACCTAGGCATGTCTGTGACTAAGGGCACAGATCCTGCAGTCGCTCAGCCCTTCTTACATTGAAGTGCCATACAACAGCTTCCACTGGAGTTTGGAGCCATCATACAGAGGAATCCTAGGAAGCCCACCAAGCACACCATCAGCCACAACTAAACGTGGTTTTAATGCACAGGTCCTAGCATATAACACTACCCTGAATGTCACTTTATCTCCTCTAGTCCTGGTGGGTCCCATCTTTCTGTTAGCAATGGATTTTATACAATCTACTCAGCATGGCAATATCTAAGATGCCTATACTTCCATGATTCTATGCCAAAAGCTCACCAAGAGAGGCTCTCCCTGCTCTTAACCAATACATTTCCTCTAGAATAGAACAGAAATTAAGGTTTCAGACAGGTTTTTAATCCCCTGGGGAAAGGAATCATAGAATCATTTCACTTGGAAGGGACCTTCAAAGGTCATCTAGTGTAACTCCCTTTCAGTGAATCCTGTAAGATCCTTCCAACAGAGGTAGTGGGTGCAAGCCAGCCAGCCATTAACAAATTTATAGGAAGAACCCACATTAATCAGGTTGCCAGTGAAGGGATGGAACTGAAGATGTCACTCAGAAGGCCTTTTTCTGTCCTTAGAATTATATATCAGGGAATTTAAAATGTGCTAATCTAGTGTGAGAAAGGAAATGAGAAGAAAGGGAGAAGAAGAATAGACAAAGACTCTGGCAGACTTTCAGGGAGTTCTACCACCAATCATAGACAATGATCCTGGGACTGCCAGACCAGAGGGATAAGTCTTCCCCCAGAAGTAAACCAGACAATTCCTTTTTTTCTTTGCTACCACTTTAGGGTTAGCTTCTTTGTCGCATATAACAGTATAGTCTTCTAGAAACAGACTGAGTGGCAAACCATGAAGAGTGAGATTGTATCCACTTCCCTCAAGGAAACTAACAGAGAAAAGGAGCACTCCGTCATTAGGTGTGTAACACCTCTTTATAGCTATCATAAGAATAACAGTGGTACTCAGCTTATGTTTGCTAAGAACATGTCCGTGTTTTATCTAACCAGCTCCTCTTCTGTGGTATTTTTCCCCACAGAAGCTCTATTTAAAGCCAAAAATGAACACATTGTTCTCTATGCTTCCTCAACTTAACTGCTGTAGGTAATGAGCATACACAAAATGCGCAAACAGATAACACACACAGATATAGGTAGACAGACAGATGCTATCCTAAGAAGGTGCTAAGAGTTTTCTGCTCAATCCACACAGGACCAAGGGGTGGATTGCAGAGTCTCTGAGACCCTACAGCCAATTGACCACATCACATTGCACACTGATTTCAAAAATCAAACACTCCTGCGAGTCCTTGGCTGTCACAAAGGGAAGAACCACAGTCTGCAAGACGAGAAAGCACACTACAAGGACAGTGGTGCTGATTTAGGGGCTGATTTGGAAAATCTGGACCAGCTAGTGTGAGTGCGCACACAGGTGCTGCTCTGCTTCTCTCCATACACACAGACATGGTGGATGAGGTTTGAGTCTCCTCCTGGGTCAGCATTGGGAAATTGCTCACCTGCACTGCAGATCTCAATTATATATTCTGCAATCATTCTGCATGGATGCGAGGGGAATTTTGCACGTACCATGAGTGTGGAACATGCACAGAGGCTGTCACAGCACAAATAAAAGATCTGCATTGCTGATAGTAAAGCAGGATTTTGTTCTTATACTTTAAAAAGGCTCAGCAAATACTGCCTGCACATGGCACCAGCTCCCAGGTTGTGTTGCCTTCCCAGTGCTGCTAAGAGAAATTCTTTGCTCTCTGCTATTTCTAAACTTGTGAAGAAGAAAATAAGGTAAATTGGACATGACCCCAGAAGATGGAAATGAGCATAAGAGCCTAGCTGAACACGACAAAAGGCACAATCAAGGCACAAATTGCATCCTTTTGTTGTCCCTCTCCCTGAGCCTAGGCACGACTGGCCATATGACATGGTATACGTAAAACACCCCACTCCTCTGGCACATCTGCAGAAAAGTCCCCAGGCAAAGCACAAAGATGGAGCTGCAAACAGAATTCACAATGTCCCATGTCAGAGTAGGGACCTGATCTTAATTTTAAGGATGTTTCTTTGCATCTCCCGTTGCGTGTAAATGTAGCCACAGGTAGCTATGGTGCTGCTGCATCCCTCAGGGTGCTGCGTGCCTGCTGGGAGGGTGGCTGCCTGTATGCACATGCAGACATGTAAGCCTTTTTAGTTTTTGTGTGCCTCCACGTGCCTGTCTGGCAATGGAAAATCAATCAATAGCTGGTTAGAGACTGAAGATCAGTACCATTATTAAAAAACTCTCTTAATAAAAAGAAAAACATCTGTTCAGGCAGTGAACAGCTACAAATTCAGATTGCAGGCTGCAGCCTCATCTCTGCCCTGTGCCCGTCGTGTTCAAGGAGGGTATTGCAGATGCTCTGAGGTGGGTTTTACATGTACCATTGCAGCAGCCTTGAACAGACACATCCAGAAGCACGAGATATGTTCACCAATCTTTCCAACAGATTTTTTCCAAGCTTTTTCTAAAACAAGTTGTCTTATCTGTATTACACCACCACGGACTGTTCCCACATGATATCATTATCTTTTTACTATGCCTTTCCTTACAATCACCAACAGGACTGACAGAACTAAACATGCACACGCATACACATGCACACACGTATCAGTGAGACACAAAGACACGAGCATTTCCAACAGGAACCAGGAGCGCAGTGCATGCACACCCTACAAGTCCAAACACACACAGTGTCCCCAGAGAGGGCAGAAAGCCTGCAATACACGCAGACACACTGTTATACACACTCACACGCAGAGCACGGCTCTCAGACACAGACACCTGCACACCAGCCCCTACTAGAGGTGCTGGAGCAATTCCCCTGCACCAGCTCCCGATGCTCTGCTAAGACGAAAACTTTACACAAGCTGAAAAGGGAAAGGC